GGTACTTTTCCCAATACGTAATATATGTAGATTTGTCCATATACAGTGGAATTCGTTTATTATGACTCCGTCTATATTGACCAACCGCTTAATATGAAGTAATAGCAGTGTTACGTTTGGTTTTCATATTAAATTCTCTATAGGAAAATTCGGATATAATGACTCCGTTTAAAATGACATATCGTTTATTATGACTGATTCTCAAGAAATCATATCCGGCTATAGTGGCCCAAATGATTAAGAATAACATTTTCGCTCATTTTTCTGATCCTTCTTATGTATATTGATATTACAATTCATCGTTCTTTTTCTTTTTCTGTTAATAAATATATACAATTTGCAGTTTTTCTCTCTAGTAAACTAAATAACTAACTAAAATAGAAAGTTATTCATTTTCTAAGACTATGCTTTGTCTGACGCCCGCTTAATATGGCGTGTTTTTGTTATTTTCCTTCAATGTCATTATAAGCGGATTCTACTGTATACTATTGGTAGAAAATTTGTTCATGCGCTATAACTGATGAACTTCAGTGTGTATAAAATATAATTTTTCGTAACCATAATCCTGGAATAACATTATTAAAAGTATCGAAAACAAACTAGCTTCTTCCTTGTTATTATTCGCAGATGTTGTTATCGATTGAACGAAATTAAATTTGAGTTCGTTTATTATTGAAACGTACTAAGCAGAGCTATTTGAAGAGAACGCGGTTTGGTTTCCTTGATGAAAATTCTCTCTTTCTGTTTGCCCACGCAAAGTTGAACATTTTTTTTTCAATAAAACCGAAGCAGAGCTATGTTCATTGCTTGACCCTTTCTTCCTTTTAGGAGTAATTATTTTTTAAGGACTTAATTGAATTAAAGGGAAGAATAATTTAATTAATACCGTAGGTTTTGTGATATTAGAATATTAGGTCTCTGTGGTTAATAATGTAAATTATACAAAGTAAACATAAATATTTTGATACATTTACCCACATTTTATTTAAAATTCACCTAATTAAAATTTTACCGTAAAGGTTGTGTTGAATTTAATATTTGTCGTACATTAGTATTTGTAACATTTACTTATAAACGTTGACTAATTTAAGATTGCTTAAAAAGTGACAGGTATGTTGTGTACCTCAAGGTCATAGTTGAAAATAAGTACGTATGTATATGTATCGTACATTTTAGTTGATTAATTGTTTCGTTAAAATTTGATGACTTGTTGTTACCGTTGCGAAGAGTTGGTTTAGTGGCTTTGTATAACTGCGAATTTGTAACTAGAGCGCGAACTTTTAAGAAGAGGTGAATCAATGGGTGCAATTTATGCGCAGAAAGTGGATGTTGACCTATTTATTTTTCGTATGGATGTGTCGTTTTAAAACACCGAGGCTTTTAGAAACTGTACCACTTCCTCAATTACCCTATAAGCGAATGCTAACATTCAAACCACAATTGCACAGGATAGTGATTTTGTCGGGTACCTATCCCACTACAATATTGATTACCAATTTGTATTAGGTAGTTTTTTTGAAGTGAAGCTTCTATAAAGACGACGGGGTATTAAGATTTTTTTTGTCACGAAAAAGCGTTACGGCCGCGTTGAGGGGGTAGACGGTATATCGTGCGGTGAGTGGCAGCAGCGGTGAAGGGAGAGAAAGGCTGGCGGCGGCGGAGAGAGGGCAACGACTGTATTAGATTGATATAATGCGCAGCCTCGCGGAGTCCGCTAGAGTCCCGGCGGCGTGTGCTGTGTTCAGCTGTTGTTTTCTTACTTCTGCTCTCCACGTGTCTGGGCATCATTGCCTCTATTTGCGGTCTGTGTAAAAACCAAATCATAATTTGCAGTAATCCTGTGAAAACGAAATGTATGCTGGGACATATAGTAGAAGTGAAACTTCAACGGACAAGTGGAGTTTTACGGGCAGGTTTTCAAATTGGACAAGTACATTAACAATCTGCCCGTAAAACTTGAAGTAAAAATTTTGTTGCGATTTTCCACTTGTTTGTTGCCGTTCATTTTTCCACTTCTGCTTTGAAGTTTCACTCGTGCTATGTGTCCCAGCACACATTTCGTTTTTTGTTATACAAATTACACTATTTATTATTACTGGTGTTTGTTTTTTTCTCTCTGGTACAATTTCCTGGCACTGTCGGGTAATCGGCGCTATTATCCGGCAGGATTCTAAAAAAAGTGCCGGATCTGCCGGGTACCGGATCCAAACACGTACGGTACATTGAAAAGGGTTATTTTTAATAAAAAAAACTTCGATTAAATGTTTTAATAATCGACTAATTTCAAAAAGTCGTATGTGAGGAGATAACTGCCCAAATTACCTGTAGAAATCTATACCTACTTACACAGAATCGTAGAGACATGAAATATTAATATATAGCGATTTTTAGACTTACATTCTTTGGAGTAGAAGACGGGTGGAATTTTTTTTGCATAAGTACTTTTGAAACAAAATAAAAGAATGTGTGCAAGTAGAACTTTTTCATATGATACGTACGTAACTGAGAACACAGCCCCACCCCCTTTATTTTATCAATATTTTAATTTTACTTTTTGCAGATAAACTTTAATAATTGTAAGTGCTCTACAATAATTGCAATTCCCACTGCTGTTATGTTCTTGTTGATAATTTGGAGCTTTGTTACCTTGCAAGGTCTATGCTACATGTATATATCTTCTGGTAATTGCATTCAGTGTTCAATATAGCTCTCACCAACATAACAGTTTTAGTATTTGTACACATTATTACAGTTCGTTTCTTCAATGGTTTCAATCGTCTGATTGAAAATCAGTTAACAAGTAATTACAATTTAAATGGGTCGGTCGGTATTATGAATTGTCCTTTACCTATACAAAATGTTTACATGAGGTCTTAACTTCTTGTAACTTTATATTTAGAACACACAATTCAAACACTAATAATTATTTCGCCACAGTGTGGCGTTTTGGAATGAATTCCACCTGAAGAAGCCACAGTGTGGTGAAATAATCATTGCGGATTTGTCTACCAGTAAAAATCTTGTAACTTATTAGTGTTTTAATTGTGTGTCTTCAGTTTTAAAGCTCTAAGTGAGCGAGACCTCCAGGATTCTGTGGGTTTGTCAGCAATGCCACTATCCTGGTGTCTATCCCACCATTAAATTTCGACTCGTTCTCACTTTTGGATTATTTCCGGTGCTCATTCTACTGTTTTTATTCCTCTATGCTTTTTGATATGATATACTGATGTAACTTATGCTATCTTACCCTAACTTAATGTAGCAAGTATTTTTTATAGTTGAATTTTTAGTTCTAAAACTGTTGACAATGGAGTTTCACCAGTAGGGATTACTTATTTAGCTTTTTTGTCCTAAACCCTCAGAAGTGTTTGATAATTTTTGATTCTCTCATTTCGAGATATTACACTCGTTAATAGTTTTGTACAATTATTAATTGATGCTGTGAACTTTGAAATGTTTTAAAACAATGCATAATAAGGTAATTGTTTTAAAAAAAATTAAATGGAGTGTCAAAAAGCTGGGATTAATTGATATAATAATAATTGTTGTATTCGTTTTCTAATTTGTCGACATTATTGTCAAATCGTTTTAGAAAATGATGTTTTGGGAGTATACAAGATTCCAGACAGCACAAACATTCATAAAGGAATTCTTTTCTTGTTATCTATATTTGAATTTGGTTTGAGCTCGTTTTCCACAAGTTGCGCTACGTAAAGAAACTTATTGTATAAATAAATATGTACATACAGTATATAATGTAATTGAGTTAGGTGTATCTGTGTATTTAAGAATCGATTTTCTCTCTCTTTGTGTCGCAATCTTTGTTTACGTCACAAGTAATTTGAGTATGAGTAGCTTTCAGTTTCCGTTGAGTTTACAGTGGTCGGTTTTTAGTTTAGTCATGTATCTTTGGTTTGTTTTTGTCGTAAAACACTTATTTTTTTTTCGTATGCAAGAACAATAGCGGTAATTTTATAAAGGATGATTCAAATCGATTTAGAGATGTACAATAGCACAAATAAGATTATAGAAAAACTGCGCTAAAGTTAAAACATAATAATTAAAGCTTTATGCAACCTCTTTCCTTTAGAGACCACAACGAATCATTATTACTAATTACTAATTGCTCATACCCATTACTTTTCATCATTTATTTGCTTATCTGTTTTGGACTTCTTTTCATCTTTTTAAATTAATTAAATCGATAACAGGCTTGCGAAAGGGGAGGGTGTTGCAATTTTCCTTGGTTTTCCTGACAAAGCAGAGGGAGGAAAATAAGGATTTCTATTTTTTATTTTTAAAGAGGTCATTCGGGTATATCGTAGGCACGCTTTTAATAATTTATGATATAGTATAAGGAACATTTTTACGTTTGTTTTGACCCAATAACTGTTACTGAAAAATCTTCCCATTTTCCCAAAAAATGAAAGCAAAATCCGAAACCCCTATCCCTAAAGTGTGTTTGTTCAGTATATGATTAATTTCGAAATACATACAATAATGTAGATACAGCTTAAAGCTATTCATCAAGCCTTTTTGTTTGTGGAGGGGTTGGGAGCTAGAATTTATTTTTTTTTCCAAAAGAGGCTGGCTGGGCATCAAAAATATGTATACATAGTACATTTCTTTCGATGAATATTTAGTATATAAAAAACATTTTATTTAACACTAATATTTATATTCTTTTTTTATTAATGACTTCAGTGTTTTAGGAAGTATACTGATGGACTGTGGTACCTATTAAAAATGTTACTTTTTTGTATACTGTTTAATAAACAAAATTCGCTGTATGAAATTTAGTGTTTTATTGTTATTTTATACGTTTTTTTTACTATAGAGATGTTTAATACAACCTCATCCACGTTTTTAAATCGCAATTTTTTATTGTTTATTATATTTCCTGCTTTTTTGTTCTCTTTTCCAGGTTGTAAAGTTGATTTGTTCATCTTAAAAGTTAGTTATCAATTTTTCTTTTTAAAATTTAATGTTGTGTATTTCAGCCAGAAGAGGGCAGCATGGCGTTACTCGACGGATCGTGCTGCGATTGCGTCTCGTTGGACATGGCTGCAGGCTCAGATAGCGGATCTGGAGTACCGCATTCGTCAGTACGCCGACTTGCAGAAGTTGGTGCGGGCGAACAAGGGACCTGTGTTGCTCGAGGGCGAGCACGAGGTCCCATCTTCGCCCAGCGCAGTGAACGGCTATAGGGGACAATTACCAGGCGCTTCGCCGCTTGTTTATTTCAATAACAAAAATGTAATGTCCGAAGTGGGAGGAGTAGGAGGCTTGGATGCGACCGGATCACCTAATACCGCATCAAGCACGGATTGTTGCTGCGCCCGCAGCCGGCCGCTTCGCTGTGGCTTTCGCAAGAGGAAGTTGGTGCAGATTGCGGGACTGCATGCGGTCAGTAAGAAGGCGGCGCGTCCCTCGACGATCCGTTGCGGGTGTGCGCCGGCGAGCGGGATTCCACCGTGCGCTGTGTGCACCGGTCGGACGGATCCGACACATCCGAAGGACCTAACCGATTGTTTAAATACGCAGGAAAGAATTGCTCTCATTGATCCCGCTTTTCATCCTGTAATCTCTTTTTCTGAAGGTGAGTAAGAAGTGAAAATATCCAGGAAGGAAGTAGGAGAAGTGGGAGTTGTTCTCCTTCCCTACACATGATTTTGGTTTATGAATAATATGAGGGTGGATTTTTACATGAAGAATTAAGTAATCCAACCCATTATAGTGAGTTGAAAATGGGGGATAAATTGGTAAATTACATCAAAAAATAATTTTGTTAAGAAGTATGTTCTAAAGTAAAAAAAAAAGAGCTCATCGAATTTTTAACGTTTTCTATTCAAAGTTTGCTAAATTAGATCGTAAATTCTACTGCAGTTTTTTTTTGTATTGAATTAAAGTCCCTACGAAAGTAATTTGATAGTTAAATTTATAAACCCTGTATATTTTTTTGGATACAATTTGTATTGGCGAAACTGTTTAATATAAAAAACATAAATGATCAACAATTTATCCAGTTGGAATAGAATGGAGAAGTTTTTTTATGTTTTGGCTAGAAGGAGGTACTTTGATTTTTTTTACGGTCATGATACCTATACATAATTTTATAATATAATTGTAATAGTAAACACAATAGAAGACAGAACATTTTAGGTTACTGACTTTCTATTATATTTTTATTACTGTAAGCGGGATGCTTTGTATCTCGTGAAAAACTTTAAGAAAAACACATATTTTGTTGAGAAATAAGTAAATCGTACGCGGTAAAAAAAACCCAAATATACTGTGGTTGGTTAAAATGTTTCATTTTGTATGCGTGTACTACTAAATTTGAATTGCTAACATCTCACCATTATGTTATTTTGATATCGTGATTTGTTGTTGATTAACAATTTATACAGTGTATATATATTTATATATTATTTATACTAGAGCATTAAAATCCACTTGTCGTATGACAAGTGGATTTTAATGCCTACAATAGCAGTTTATTTTAATGAATTACCTTTGCAACAGTTTGATCATGCCATTAAATAATAAAAATTACATATGTTGTAGAAATCAGACGAGATAAATATGTGAAAGGATTCAGTTTCAAAAAAGAAAAAGGCGAATCTGTTATTGTGTGTTTTATTCTTTTAAATCTTTTTTATTATCAATTTTCAGACGTTTCGTCCAGTATCCATTTGGAGGCGATTATGAAAACGTCCGACTGGCAAATGAAAAGTACAAAGTCGAACTTCAAGACGATGAAGTTCAACATGAAGACAGATCGTCGAAATAAAACTAGCCCTAACGTTGAAGAAGATCTGACCAAAAAGGTGGACCATCGTAGAAAATACAACAGATTAATGAAGACAAGTAAGAATTAATATTCATAATTTTGCTTACATACGTAGATGTTTTATAAAGAAATTAATTGTACAATTTCAAATGTTTCATAATAATGTGCTGTGTGCAATGAAATTCGCTTATATTATTATTACAAGAATGAAGCCATATTGTTTCATTTTGTTATCATTTAAGTCAAAAAACTAGTAAGAAAAATAAAATTTATGAAGTTTTTTTAGTACAGAGAAAATAGTAAGGAAGAATGGCACTAATGAATGGCCACGCGATTTTTTTCTCATAAACTAGAAACCCTGATTATTAATACAGTAGTATATGCGAATTGGAGAAAACGTAAAAAAATTATTTTGTTACTTTTTCAGTATTTCAATATACCTACTTATGCTCTATAATTTTGTAATGGCTTCATTTTTTTACAGAAATGAAAAAAATGCGAGGTCGTAAGCCCATGTTGCATTCGTCACTCACGCGACTTAAGAAAAAGAGACACAATGTGCGATTGGCGATGGCGCAGTTACAGGCGATGTCGGCAGAGGGTGCGGACGAAGAGACAGAGGCGTTGAGCAATAGCGCGGCTGCAGCGGCCGCAGCTGCAGCAGGTGGAAATGGCCCGCGATCGATGAGCGTTGGTAATATCGTAGTGGACTCACCATGCTCGTCGCCGCTTTTAACGATGCAGGCCATTTCCGGTTACAGCAGTAAGCAGAGAAATAGTCGTGTCAGTTCGTATGATATCGACAACATTGTGATCCCGTACAGTGTTGCCGCATCTACCAGGGTCGAAAAGTTGCAGTACAAAGAGATTTTAACGCCCAAGTGAGTTTTATTCTATTACCATATACATTTAAAGACCTTTGGTAACGGCTTTAATAATATTACCACAGTTTGGTAAAACATGATGTCCACTGTACTCGAAGAATATAGACATTCCAGGGATTTTTTTACCCTGGAAAATTTGAAAATCTCGGAACTTGTAATTTACGAAATTTTATTGCAGTTAAAACATAACTACATTTTCAAGTTTAAGACAGATGCTGCGTTAGTAACATCGGAAGAGTTTAAGCGGGGATGACCACTAAGGGTTTTACTTGCGAGCTCTTAATACTTCTATAAAGAAGTTTTGTGCTTGTTGAGGAAAATTTTTCTTTTATGGGTCCTTTAATCTTGTCGCTGCAATTATTTCTCAATTTTTGTACAAGTTTGTAGAAAAAATTAGTTTAAATGGGAGGCGTTTTAAAAATAGAAATGATTATCAAGGTTTTTAAATTCTTTTTTAAGTTAAGTGCTAATGCTTGGGAGGGGGTCCTTTTTGGATAATTTGTTAGCTATTATCGACTTAAAAAATGCTCGAATCATTACAATATCTTTTGTGGTATGCTTTTAGGTGGCGTTTGGTCGATCCTGATTTTGCTGTGAAATACACGAAAACTAATGGCGTCGTTCGTGATCCTGAAAGCGATGTAAGTGATCTTAATTTCAATTTTGCAATTCGTTCTAGAATTTACTCATACTTTAGTATTATTAAAATCTTAATTAAATTGTACAACAATTACAATATGTTATTAAAATTAAACCCATTAGAACTGAACACTTATTGATTATCCGCATCCCATGGTGCTGTTAAATTGATCTGACAGGCGACGCTATCCCTTCTTCTTATTATCATTGTTGTATAGTAATCAATTACGATTATATCAGTTTGTACTATTTAGTGATATTCTTTACTAATTTACTAAATTGATAATGTGTTTAAGGTGGAAGATCTTTCGGAAGAGGCGTTATTGGCGCGTCACGAAAAATCTGAGCACGAGGAGAAGAAAAAGTTCCTCAGTTACCTCAAATTCCCTGTTGGCAGTGGCCGGTCTCGTTCGCACAAACGAACGGACAGCAGGGCCGAATCGAGCGGCGGAAACACACCTGACCCCTTGTCGCCTCATCCCATCGACCACACAAACACAACTGTTTCCGCCTCTGACATCGTTACGAATAGCATCAGTGGCAGTTCTCCTGTTCTTTCGCCTCCTGCCACTCCGTTACCTTCCATCGACGAATGCCCCTTACCATCGGTGAGCGTGATGCGAAGACGGACCATTTCGCAATCGACCCGTGGTAAAGATCGCGGAATTATTGAAGAAGAAGATGAGCAACGAGAAGTGATAGAAATGACGGTGACACCCTACGATCGTCGCACATTTCCATTGGCTGAAGACGCGTATGACAAAATGTTGAAACAAATGCCTGAAGATCATCGTCAGTGTAGTACGAACTCGAGGTCTCAAGACGTTCAGAGGAGGCGGAGTAGCAGTTGTTTTAGTCCGTTGAATGACGACGAGGATGATCGGAGAGATTCGCTCACCCTCGGCTCGCCGATGGTTGTGTGTGCTGCCGAAGGTGATGATGACAGCGAATCGACCGAGTCGGCGTACGGTGACGAAGATCCGAACGATCCCGAATGGAGTGATTTTGAATGCGTGCGCGACCGTTATGGAAAGAGATAGAACAAAGATAATCATGACGACCTCGTCAGATAACGTTTTCGTGCATGATGCGACCCGAAAAAAGGAAGCTAAATAGGTAGAAGACAGGCAAGATTTTCGTCGTGACATTGGCTTATAATTTCTTTCGATAGGAACAGTAATAGTACTTCAATTAATTTTTGGTAGTCGGTAAAGCGCGTTTGTAATTATTTAACTGCACCTGACATTTTTTTGCCGAACATTTAGGAAAATTTTGTGGGAATGTAATGCGCTATTCCATTTTAAGATTTGAGCCTACTAAAGGGGCCGCGGCGCGGGATAAATATGGACGAACTGCTTTCTTTAAACAAATGGGTTCCATATTTTTTTTCCAGGATTTATACCGACAATATTGGATCAGAAGTTTCTACTGGTTGACAGTGTTTAAAATAAAAACATTTTATATGTAACATTTTTTAAATCTTAAACGATTGACTGAATCTTAATAAAAAGATCACTTTCAAAGTTCTCAATGGGAAAAGTTGGACAACAAAAGCAGTGGTAAAATGTTTTAATTTTGACCTCATTTTAACAGTGGGTACATTCATGTTTGGTATCATTACTATATCCGTTGTTATTTATTTATTTATTTATTCAAGGCATTATAAAAAAGGTATATATATTTTTTTTAAATTGATCAAGTTAACATTGAAACAGTTAAAAATTGAAGTACATGTCTTTTTTTACTCAATTTTATTTTGTCCCCTATCCTTGACTACTTCAGCTACTCTATAAAAGATAACTTTTTATTAAGATTCATTCAATATATTAATATTTAAAAAATGACGAAACATCTTTTATTTTCACTGTCGTACTAATTATTGCTACTTCTGATTAAATGTAATAACTAACACAAAAACTGTTAAATCTACAAGCTACAGTATCAGGGCAGTTCGTTCATATCTTTATTTATTTGTTATCATTAAGATATGTAATTGAATCATTTGAATTGTAGCTATCGAGTTTAAATTTCTTTCTGTCTAGGTAAATCAGTCATGCTAATTTTTTGCAGTTACTACTGGGTGTATGTAAATATATGATATTATATGTATATTGCTTATCGAGTGAAGAAAAAAAATTAAAATATAACCATTCAGTACTAGTGTCGTACCGATATGAGCGAGCTACAAATGTGAAGGAAAGAATTCTGATTGCGTTGTTGTTACACTCTTCTAATCAAAATTTGTCATCGGTTTTCTTTTTTTGCTTTCTTTCCCAGTGATGTTAAGCGTAGAATTAAATTTTGATTATCGTATATATATTGATATAGTAAACTACGCTCCGTTGGAATTTAATTTGTAACTTTAAGGTTCTTATTAGATTGAATATAAAGTAATGCCGGTTTTAATGTAGAAGAAAATGTTTATTCTATACATAAATAAATTAGGTAACCGTTGTGCTAAAATTTAAAATGTGTTAGTTGGTTTTGAAAAATTTGACCAATCATAGTTATCCTTAATTATCAACATTGCACTATTTGCTTTTTGAATTTTGTGGATAGTAGAAATGGCATTATTTGACTTTGAAGATTAATTTATCCGTTTTATATTTTGCGCTTTATACATGGGAAAATAATTATCTTAAACCGTGTATTCAAAGTATATGTGCTGTAGGTTTTGTTAATGTATATTTATTTGAAGTACTATTGGAGAAACGTGCCGATATTGATAAGTGAGGCAAAATGTCACGACTATGTCCT